TAATCGAAATTAATCCACAGCAACCCTGTGATTAATCTGATTAAAAATTTTAATCGTTTGACATCACTAATTTATAAATGACTAATATTTAGTGTAAGGATTAACACCATGGCAGCTGATACTGTGTGTAACTTTGGCACTTTAGCTGCTCAGCAGTCCTGGAGGTGTGACCCACTGAGCCCCACTGGCCTTTAGCTAAGGAAGAAAGTCAGACTTACACTGTATCACAGTGTATTAACACACAGCCTACAGGAAGGTATAGTGTCTGAACCTGACAGACTGTACATCTGCTACAGCCCAGTCTGGGGCTGAATGAGACACAAAACACAGTGACATCAGACATGTCTGACCTTTGTTATAAAAGAAGCAGGTCAGGAAGATGAGGCAGAGGAGAAGGATGAAACAAATCAGGATGAAACAATGCAGCCAATCTGGGTTCAGGGTCTCAGGCTGAGGGATCGTGTGCTGGAGAGGGCAGGGAGTGGACTGGCCCCCAGGATGGTCTGTAAACAGAGTATAAACATCATCACTTTTAGGGTGATAAGCAGTGATCTCTGTTATAAACATGCATTTCCTGTAGTTCACGTTATAGATATGTGACTTAGTTCTCATATGTACTGTAAAAATTAGATATTGGCGCCAGTGTAATCTTAATATTTGGTATACAAGTAATTCTGATGTAAATAATCACAAGTCACAAATAATCCACAGTTACCTTAATCTGAATCACTCGCCATTAAATTACCTGCAAATTTCAGCTTTGTACATTTTCCAAACGTTAGACCTGTACTTTGGATGCAGCAGTAGATCAGCAGATCTGCCTCACTGATGTTCTTCAGCAGCAGGCTGTGTGAGCCAGAGTCATTAACAGAAATCAGCCTCTCTTTATATTTGTCTCCAGTGATAACAGGACTCAGATTCTTACTAGGACGTAATTTCAGGTCCATGAGTCTGGATGGTATGTGGCCTGACTGCAGGGAAAACCAAGAAATCTCAGTATCTGCAGGGATCCCACAAGGCAGAGTGGCATTTCCTCCAGGCTGGACCACCTCCTCAGCCTGGGTCACCAGAGCAGCACTGCAACCTGGAGACACAGAAAACAAAGTAAATATGATATTAATAAAGACTGAATTAAGCTGTGAATTCTTGTGGTGATTCTGCATTAAGATCCTGTGGTGTATCAGACACCATATATCTTACAGGTAGAGGTGGGCGATAAATCGATTAATTCGAATTTAGAGCTTAGGACGATGTATTTTTATGAAAATCGATTTTATTACTTATTTTACACGTGAGCGCCAGAAGCGGAACTAATGCGACGCACCGTTCTTCACGGGTAAATTAGCGCGGCGCACCCAAACACTGTAGCGGATTCACAAACAACATGCAATAGTTCGGTTTTGCGCCGTCGGACACAGACCAAACAAGTCCTCGATCGTTGCAAATTCTGTTTAAAAACTGTTGCAACCAAAGGAAACAGCACAACAAATTTATTCCAGCACCTAAAGCAGAGGCACGCAGCGGAGTGGGAGATGTGCAGCTCCCAGCGAAATGAAAATACCCGCAGCACCAGTACAACATCCAAAGTTAAGCAAGCAACCGTCCTTGACACGTTTTCGAATTGTGTGCCATATGATTAGAATGGGGCACGGTGGAAAGCGATAACAAACGCTGTCGAGATGTACACTCACCTAAAGGATTATTAGGAACACCATACTAATACGGTGTTTGACCCCCTTTCGCCT